AAGTTTATAATTTGTGAGTTACGCAAAACAATTGAATCTGGCTGTGAAGAAATGGATGTTGCCTAAAATAATTATAGTGCTCTTTAAATAACTCTTGAAGAGAGAGATTTACTATTTCCTCTCAAAGTGAACAATTGTTGTGTAGCATGTCAGCAATTTTTCCCTCTCACCCAGAAGCTTACTCTTTCGACTAAACTTCTTATCTTTTGAAAACTTTTTGCAAAAAAACAGCCTGTAAAGAAAATACTCTCTATTTTCAAGTCGAAAACCTGCAGTTTTTAGCTGTCTGCTTAACGTTTTGGAGAAGAAAGAATTGGAAAACTCAGGCTAAAAGAGCAGATATACTAACCTTCATTCTTCACCTTCCATACCATCTATTCATCGAGCTATAACTTTCAGATGATGATCCTTGTTGGTAAAACCGGTATTGATAATTTCCTCCCGGTAAGTTGATACATCAAGAAGGACTGAGAAAATGAAAGTGGTATTAAACAGTCTTTATTATTCGAAGAATGCACGATTTCATATAATTTACATATGAAATGCTATTACAGACTAGAGCCTTTAAGGCCCCCCCTCAGAAATGACGATTCTCGGATTTTAAGATAAGCACATACAAAGATAGCCTGAAGTGTCTACTTTTAGAATACATATGATTTGAAACCATATTAATGGCTTTTGAGAGGGTTTTCAGAGGTTTTCTGAAGACCCGCTGTACAAAAACTTACTATTTTATTTCGAACTGACGCACTGATGCTATAAAAGTGATTTTTGTAAAAAAACGAATACCTAATGATGCTGAGTACAATGCATGGGTGAACAAGCTTAGAGAGTCCTCAGAGGAGTTTCCTGAAACAGGTTTCCTAGGAGATCTTTGAAAAAACAGGTCGTGTGTAAAAAATTTCGAATAGGATTGTAATGATTTTTTCTCATGGACTGATAGCCCGAGATGTCCTCTCGAAGACGGGAGCCAAACGGCACCTTGATTTTCCGCGGCTTGAGCGCTGTATCGGATTTCCTATCAGTCCCAGGACTGGCACCTGATGACTATTGGTAGCATTGAAAACGTATGGACTATGGGTAATCAATCATGCTGCGTCTCGTCGCAATATTTGCTTTTAGAAAAAGTTCGTAGAAACTAGCTAAAAAGGAGTTTTACGAAAATTGGGGTTTTCAGGCTGTTTTCACTTACTTTTTAAAAATTCACTGTTCGCTCAAAATACATCAGAACGAGTTCAAAACTTCAGAATGTAAAGTATTTAGGCTGTTCTATATCCTATTCACAGGATATCTAGAAAGAGATTTTATAGAACTCCAAGGTTTTCTCGAAAGTTTTTCTGGAAAACCCATTAACAAAAATATGCTTTTTCGATTTTTCGATCGCATAATCACATTTAGCGGACAGAATTGACCATATCCTGAAGTTTTGAAGTCGTTCTGATGTATTTTGAGCGAACAGTGAATTTTCAAAAACTAAGTGAAAACAGCCTGAAAACCGCAATTTTCGTAAAACTCCTTTTTCGATCGTTTCTAAGAACTTTTTCTGAAAGCAAATATTACCACGAGACTCAGCATGATTGATTACCCATAGTCCATTCGTTTCCGAGGCTACCAATAGTCACCAGGTGCTAGCCCTGGGACTCGTAGAAAATCCGATACAGCGCCCAAGCCGCGGAACATCAAAGTGCCGTTTGACTCCCGTCATCAAGAGGAGATCCCGAGCTATCAGCCCATGAAAAAAATCAATACAATCCTACTCGAAAATTTTTACACACGACCCGGTTTTTCAAAGATCTCCTAGAAAACCTGTTTTAGAAAACACTCCAGAAAATAATTATGCTTGTGGAAACATGTCCACAAGTCTCTTCTTTCGCACGGAAAAAATCGGAGCTCTCTGGCTGCTTTCTATCAAAAGTTATTCAAAAAACACCCACGGCTGTTCTATTTTAGCGTTTTTCTCAAAACTTGTTTTTGTTCGAACGTGCCCAGTGTGGAACCCTTTTTTTAAATATACTTCAAGCTAGAGATCTCGAGTTGATTTTATTTTAAACTAGACACCTAACTGCGTGAGGTGCTGGGATCCGATTTTTGATTTAGGCCTCCGTTGGTTTTCTAGAGATCAAAGATTCTCAGAAATCCGAAAATTTTTACGGGTTTTCCTGAGGTTCTTGATTTTCTAGAAAAGGAAAGCCCAATTTAAAAATCGGGTCCCAGCACCTCACGCAGTTAGGTGTCTAGTTTAAAATAAAACCAACCCGAGATCTCTAGCTTGAAGTACATTTAAAAAAAAGGGTTCCACACTAGAGGGTGATCTTTGACCTTGGACTCTGAAAAACCCCGGAACGGTAAGAGGGGGGCCCTTAAGGCTCTACAGCCTTATATGATTTAATATATCATAAAAACAGAGATATTTCACTACATTTTTCTCCTTTCTTTATATTCAAGAATGGACGAATATGTATAGTTTTCGTCCATACCTATTAGTTACACGTACATTTCAGCATAAAGAGATTTTTAGATTGTTTAAATTTTCACTTATATTTTGTTGCCGTGTGATCCGCCTTCTTCACGTTAAAATCGAAGAAGGGACACACGAAGACATGCTCTGTACAGCAGAAAAAGGGAACCGATATATATATAAATGAATATGAGTATATGAGTATATATAAATGAATATGAGTTAATGAATATGAGTTAATTAATATGAGTTAATCGGTTGATCACGTGGAGAAATTAGAATACGATGACTGACGTGGGTGATTCTCATAATTGATGGTTTTGATGTATCAAATGCTGATTTGTGTTTGATCAATATTGCTAGTATTTGCTCTTGTTGCTGATGTGGAAGATGTGATGTTAAAGTGTGAATTTTAACTTACTATTGATGGACGAATAAGATTCTGACTTCGATGTAATTGGATTTGATGTTGTTGCGGACGTGGTCTGGTGTTATTGTGCACTAAATGGATCATGATGGACATAACAGCAACTAAACAAAACAGTGCCAAAAAAACGTGATGCTTTTTTAACGACATGTATAATTAAGCTCTAGGCATTACAAACAAAATAAAGCCGTAGTAATCATGCATAATAGCAATGCAACTGAGTTTTGGTGGAAATGTATACATCATATACTTTATAGGTAAAAGAATGCTATTGTGAAGAAAGCGTTCACATACACATACGTATGTGACATATGTGCGAGCATATGTGCATCAGAATCTGCATGGTCGAGAACCTATACAGAGCTTTACCAAACCCTTAAAGATCAAAACAGATCAAAGGAAAAGTAATTTTCAGAAGAAAAAAAGTATTTTCCGTTTTTCTCGAAACGTGTTTATGGCGTGGCGGAACTCACCGTCAGCTCTTTTTTCAAACTTTTGAGGTGAAATCCTTCGGAAAATACAACCAAGAAAACTCAAAATTCCGACTCTGTTACGTCCTTATACTAACTTCATTTTATATTTTAAAAGCAGTCCGAGCTCTATAGCTATTTTCTGAGAGGAGAAATCTGTTCTTTGATTGTCAGGTTTTACAGTGCGTATAAGATGTTTTAATGGAAAATGAGAAATTTTGATTTTGATTTTTGGTTCTTTTTCTGGCTAATATTTATTAATATTAGCCAGAATTTATTTTATTTTATTAGAATAAAAATAAAACAATTCAAAGATGTGCTGTTTTTCATTTTAAAAGTGCCTGATAGAATTATACAATTCTAAAATGTCTCAAGAACATCTGTAAAAAAGAACCTACTTTGTAGTCCAAAAAAATGTTTTGAAACCATTAAAACTCTAAAGATTTAAGGAAATCCTTTAAACTAATCAAAAGAAAAGACATCGATGTTCATTTTTACAATTATTATTGAAACATCCATGTTGTATTGAACAATTTTAATATGTCGCAGTCTGATTCTAAACTGGCCCAGACTGACTTGGCATTCTCGATTGGATGAGGTCAATCGGGAATTGATCTAGTCTATTTTATAATCGAGAGGCATCTCTACTTGTCCTGGACAACTCAGAATTCCAAGACGACCAACAAATATAAACCAACAAAGTTGGCCAAGGTCCCTATGGTTCCGCCGCCTCTGCATAATGAGTAAAGACATGTATAACCCTTGGACAATAAAGTTTAATTCACAACTAATTTCAAAATGTTTTGAGAAAGATAAATGCAACTTTCAAATCGAAAGTACGATCGAACTAAAGGTAACATGTGTTTCCAAGCATAAAAAAGGAATTTTAACAGTTTTTAGCGCTTTGCACCGAAAATAAAACCAGAAATATAGGTTCATTCGCGGCAGAACCAAGATTACATCGAACTTACACGAAGATGCCGCAAACTTTTCTTAAGTATGATATTTTAATCCATTTAGCGATAGTGCTCTACACTCCATCTAAAATACATTTTAATCGATGCTCTATACGATAATAGTTGAACATGGCTTGAACGAAATGGATATAGAAAAGAACATTTTATATAACAGTCAGGCATCGATAATCACTAATATATTACTTTTTCTCCCAACTTTCTTATGAGAAGAAAGCACTAATGAAGAAACTTGAGAAATGTAGCTACGCAAGTGCAGTTTTTAGAAATCTTGCGGTTATAAAAAAGATTAGAAACAAGTGTTAAAAAACTGGAAGAAAGTGGACTTTGGATGCGATGTATCCGACCACCAGTCCAAGTTATGCAATGTTTTGCATTAGCATTCTTCGTACCCGACTTTTTAACATTAATATTTCCATTCATAAAAATAGGCTGAACTCAAACCATTCAATACCCAATAGTATTGTAAAAATCCAATAGATTGGGTGACCAATATTACTGGTTCCAATAGATTGAGTGACCAATATTATCGGGTCCCAATATACTGTATTGGTGCATGCCTACGTGAGTGTCGGTTATTAGTTTCCCATTTTAAAAGAACTGAATTAAATCAAACCTTAACAGCAAGTTTAAAAAACGATTGCGAGACACGATGGAATAGTATATATGATATGCTAAAGTCAATCGAAAGTAATTTTGAACAGTCAGATTCATTGTTAACAGCACGAGGAGATGATGATTATATGCTAGGACGTTTTGTTAACGAAGTTATGACAATATTATCTCAGTTTAAAACAGCGAGCGAACAATTATCCGCTGTCATGAGCCGACACTCCATCTTGTTGTTCCTAGGTTTTGTAAACTCAAATCGTTTTGTGCAGATAAAAACAGTGATACATTGACGATTCATGGATTCAAAAAAGCTTTGCGCGAGAAGCTAAATGACAAGATATGGCTTACGTCTTTGCACTACTCCGCAACTTTTCTTCATCCTACCACAAAAGCACTTTCAGTAAGCAGAAAATGTTTGTATATTTATAAGAACAGGTTATATTATATGAGCATTTCTAAAGCGAAGTTTTCTGTTGGATTCCTCTTCAACTCCTTGTCTCCTTTATGAGTAAACAAACAAAGAAGTGTGTTCGTCTTAACGACGAATTTTAGTAAAAATGTTCACATTCTCTTCTGTTCTAACCCGTACATTTCAGCTACATAGAGGAATTTAACCTTTACATCGATGAAATAGCGTCGTTTATTACCGACGTGTAAAATACTTTTTCTTAAGTCATGAATATAGGATGTGGTGTGTGTTTTATAGGCATTAACAAAACGTGAACGTGAAGATATTAGTATTAGTCGATACACGAAAGCTTATTGTCACATTTCAAATTCCAAAATCGGATCAAGAAAACATAAAACAAGCTCCAAAATCAAAGCGGTTTAAGAAAGATTTAATAACGGTGAATGGTGTTTTAAAAGAATTCGCTTGCCAGGATGATCAGGAAACAGATGAAGAAGAACAAGATGAAGTAGCTGAATATTGGAGAGCAAAATTACGTTTTAGTTCTGAAGAAAATGTTCTGTTATGGTGGAAGAAGCAAGAAACGATATATCCACAACTGAGAATTTTAGCACAGTTACTTTTATCCATTCCTGCTAGTTCGGTTACTGCTGAACGAATTTTCAGCAATACTGGCAGAATATTAGAAGCCCGGCGTGAACGATTAAATCCAGACTCAGTAGATGCTATATTATTTTTAAGAAATTTTAGGAAATAGACAACTGGTCTTCTGAAATACTTTGTGTTGGTAGAAAATAGTATCTGTTGTTTTAAATGACAAAGATAAGGATATTGTATATAAATAAATAAGTGTTTGAACTAGGAGATTCTACAATATACAACGGAAAACTTTGGTCTAACCAGGTAAGTCTATATTATTTCTCAAAAACAGCTTTCTGGTGGAATTGTTTTTATCGGGTCAGGTCGAATCAGCTTCGGGCTCAGATGCTGTCGGGTTGGGTGGGGCTCGAGCCAGCACTCTGATAGTCGGATCGGGTTCGGGTTAGGTTATCTTAATCCGTGCAGATCTCTATCTACAATATGCACCGAAAAACTTTTGTCTAACAAGGCAAGTCTATATTCTTTCTCAAACACAGTTTTCTCGTGAGATTATTTTTATCGAATCGGATCGGGGCGGGTGGGGATCGGCATTTTGGCAGTCAGGTCGGGTTCGGGTTAGATGTTCTTAACCCGTGCAGGTCTCAAGTGTTAAACAGCCAATACTGTGAAGAACATTCGTCTAGCAGCCTTAGATCAGGCGCAGATAAACGAAAAAACACACCTGGACGTATCCCTTGTGCAGAGACAAGCTTTTAGCCGACAGACAAACACACACATCACGACAGAATACGAGAGTGATTAGAAATAAGAACTTAAGCATTGAGAATGCATCTCATTGAAACATTTTCTCAACTGGTGGCCATTTTTATTTCATACATTTACTATGCAGGCACATTTCACATGTACATTATGTCGAGTAGAATGTTTCGTCAAGAGCTGGTCCTCCGTCCATCGTTAGTGCGTTACTTAACTATCATGAGCATTTTTTTTATTCAAGTCAGGTTTATATGTGGGCGAATGTGCTAACTTCTTCTTGATTTGTGCAGCACAAACAGCTCTTCAGATACTGAACACGCAAAAGTTTGAATATGACAGTAAACAGAAGAACATTCGATTTATGCAGGTGCAACAAAGTTTTGCGGCTCTCTGAAAAATGATCCTAAGTCCTCATTCCATCCCTTGTAGAGAAGACGAAGTGTAGAGAAAAATCTGGAATTCTAATTGAATAATGAGAAGGACGCTCGTGAAAATATTGACGATTCGTATCAACAAAAAGTAGGAATTGGAGTGTATAGCCTCTATAAAGCATTCAAAACATAAAAACTGCAGGTTTGAAAACTTCTTCAGTTATTAATCTATTTAAGCATATCATAATGATTTCTGTATTTCTGTATAACATTCTGTATTGATCCTACTTTCCGATATAAATCCTACCATAATGGAGTTCAAAATCCTACTCTGTTACGTTTAAATATAACTTCAATAGTTTTCTATCTCGTTCGTTAATTACTAATTCAAAAGCACTGATTTACACATAAAACTTACATACAGTTGAACACATCTTATGCCTTTTTGACATAACATACTCCAACTACTTTTTGCTGGTACGAATCATGAATATTTTTAAGACCGTCCTTCTCATTCTCCAGTTATAATTCTAAATATTTATTCTTTCATTAGACACGTAGGTTAACAGGCACGTATCAATCCTTCTTCAAAAGGATTTTTATACAAAAATATTAATTGTCACGCTCTCATATAGATGGTGAGCAGCATCGCAGTATGACAATCATCATCAAACCTTTTATACATGATAAAAAACATGTAGAAGACTGTTCGTCTCGCTGCAAACATGTCAACGCCACTACCAGACATTATCATCAAACTAGATTCGATAACAAATCTATTGTTTATTTATGGATCAGTGGTATTACTAGTGCTTGGGACAATTAGTTCAGCCTTCAACATTGTGATATTTAGTCGTGGTACGTTCAAAACGAGTTCATGCGCTCGATACC